GAGAGAGAGAGAGAGAGCGAGAGAGAGAGCGCACGAGCACATACCATTCACTGAGTGGAATACAATGCACAGCTAGTCTATGAACAACCGATCGAAACCTCGCCCCATCCTGTGCCACCCTCACTGCCCCCAACATCCTTAAGCATGTGGTTGTAGTCCCAGGGCCATTTCGTCTCAGTGAGGGTCTTCCTGTCTTGTACTGCCCCTCTACTCTTCCAAACGTGACATCTTTTGAAAGGACAGTATTGAACAAAATATTTAGAGTTAAAATACAAATAAAGAAGAGTAGATCTCGCTAGGGAAGGCAAAGAAGAGGCCAGCTGGGCATTGGGAGAGGCGACTGCTTGTTAGTGGAGAGGGTCAGAGACCAAAAAGCCCCTCAGGGAGATGTTGACACAGGGGCTGCAACAATGTGCTCAAGTACAATATTTTGGGGGAAAAGTGGAAGGAGATGGTGATAGAGAGATGTGAGGTCTCGCTCTGGGCTCTGAGCAAGGGCACCTAGGATTGCTTCGGTCCAGCGCAGTCTGTTTTGTTTGGAGAGGAGCAGATTCTGGGAAGGACAAGTCATGAACGCTCTTAATCTTAGGAGTGAGCACCTTGAACTTGTTCTCCAACCCTCCCCTTTTCTGTGTCCCAGCTGGGACTCTCAGGTGCTGGGCTTCACCTTCAACGACATGTTCATCCGCATCTCCACTCGCCTCCCCTCCCGCTACCTCTACGGCTTTGGGGAGACAGAGCACACGGCTTTCCGGAGGGACCTGAACTGGCACACGTGGGGCATGTTCTCCAGGGACGAGCCCCCAGGGGTAAGGAGCAGAGTTCGGGGTCTGTGTCTCTGCCTCTCTTCATCACACCACACACACATCACACTGCTTGTCCTCAGACTCAACGTGGATGACCACACCCTGCTCCTAGAACGTGTTCCAGTTCTCATACGCCTTTGTTTGTCATGCATTTAACTTATGTCTCAGAGAAGACTGGCCCCACCTTCCACTGTCCACTGCTGTTGGGTTGATTGCAGCTTACTGTAGTGAACGTGTAGGTCAAAGCCAAGTTGCCCCTCCCGAGGGTTTCTGAGGCCACGCTCATTATGGAAGGAACCTGCCTCATCTCTCTCCCGGGAAACAACTAGTGGATTCAAACCTCTAACTTTTCAGTTATCTACCCGGTGTCTAATCCAGTGAGCCACTGGGGCTCCATGAACCCCTCTAGTGGTCCCTTCCTTTCCCTTCCCTTCCTTTTTTAGTTTGTTTACAAAATTATAATACAAATTCAAACAAATTCTTTCAGTTTCCCTCACCCCACCCAGCAAATTGTACAACCCAATGATCAATCCCCTCTTCCCCCTGCACATCCACATCTCTCTGCCTCCAGCCTCTCCCACCCCTCCTGGATCCTTGTATTCATTCTACAGTAACGGTCTTATACAATATTTATCCTTACGGGAATGAGTTAGTTCACTCAGCATAATGCTCTCCAGTTCTTCCCAAGTTAGATAATAATTTACAAAGTTATTGCTCCTGCGTGCTGCATATATTGTGTGAATGTACCATAATTCCTCAATCCATTCCTTGGTGGTTGGACATTTGGGCTGTTTCCATGTTCTTGCGATGGTAAATAATGCTGCTGTGAACATCGGTGTACAAATCTCAGTTTGTACCTCAGTTCTCATTTTCTCAGGGTATATTCCAAGTAGTGGAATAGCTGGGTCATATGGAATTTCTATGTTCAGCTTTTTGAGGAAGTGCATAACTGCCTTCTAGAATGGTTGCACCTAGTGATTGTTTTTCATTGTGCTTGTCAACCATGGTTGCTTTTAAACTCCTGTCACTTCTTCCCCGCCTCCCCCAGTACAAGAAGAACTCCTACGGTGTGCACCCCTACTACATGGCGCTGGAGGAGGACGGCAGTGCCCACGGGGTGCTCCTGCTCAACAGCAACGCCATGGGTAAGAGGGGGCCTGTGTCTCTCGCCTTTATGAGCTAATCCACCTCTATAACTCCAGTGGGGCTTGATGGTCTTGGATACAGGAATTATCATGTGATAGATGGTGAGGTTTTTGGTTTTTTTTGTTTGCTTGCTTGTTGTTTCTTTTTATTGTCTCAGTTTTCCTTTTTGTTCTGATGAGTTATGTATCAGACAATAATAAATACTATTTTAGTTCTTTCATTTGACAAGAGTCATTTAAGAAGGAATGACACATCTCAAATATTCTTCCTGGAAGCTGAATATTCCCATGAGGCTGCATATAGAAATTGGACTAGTATAGCCATGGATTGGAACACTCATTGCTGAGTGAAGAATGAAAAAAAAAAATGTATACTCTACAGAAAATCCTTAAACCCAGGGACGGGAAAATGAAAGCATGGGAAAACCAAATAAGGTCTGTACTCTAGAGTAGTGAATCAATGTCAGTTTCAGTGGTTTTGACAAAGCACTTTAACATGATATCAATAATATGTGATGGGAGATGTGTGCAATGGAGCTCCCAGCACAATTATTGTAATTGCTTTTGAGTCTTAAATTACTTTAAAGAATTATAATAATGCTTAAAAAACAGGGCAACTTGAAGAACAATTTTATTAGACAATAAATACACAAAAAAGAGATCATGAGGTGAGACCCTGTGGGCTTTCAATTAACATCTTCAGCTCTGTGAGGGTATAATGGAAGATACTTCTAATTTCCTCTCATAGGGAAACCAGTAAGAGAGACAAGGTATGAGTTTCAGAAGTAATATTTCGCCTTAAAATGTTTCTGTGTTCTGGTATCCTCGTGTGTTTTCAGATGTGACGTTCCAGCCCATGCCTGCCCTGACGTACCGCACCACTGGAGGGATTCTGGACTTCTACGTGGTCTTGGGACCCACCCCAGAGCTTGTCACCCAGCAGTACACTGAGGTGGGTGAGATCTTAGAGGGCTCCAAGTGTTAGTCAGAAAATATCTATGTCTCACAAACAAACACTAGAAACGTGGGTTTTTTGGATGGTTTTTTTTTTATGACTCTCACATGTTAACTGGAATTGTTGGTCTGTTTTTGAGAAACATAGATTGGAGAATAAAAGGGAATAAACACATTTAAAAGGGAACAAACACATTTTAATAGGCATTAAGTTTGTAGTCTCTCTAAATACTGCAGAGTAATAGAAGTGTGGCGGTGGTGACCCTGTAAGGATGTAAGTGGTGATGGTGGTGATGGTGATGCCAGTGGTGACAGTCACGGTGAGGTAATGGTGATTATGGTGATGGTGGTCATAGTCCTGATGGTGGTGGCAGTGATGATGTTGGTATTGGTGGTCGCCAACTTGAAGGCATGCAGTTCGAATCCACCAGCTGCTCTGTAAGAGAAATATGTACAATCTCCTCCTGTGTGATTTACTGCTTCTCAAAACCCACTGGAGGGTCAGCTATGGCTTGGTTTGACTCAACAGCACATAACAACTTCAAGATAAGCTCAGGAACTAGGATTTCTCTTGATTATCTGTGTACCTGTGTGGTGTCTCCTGGGGGAGGTCTACATTTCTTCTGTCTGTTTTCCAGCTGATCGGCCGGCCTGTGATGGTGCCTTACTGGTCCCTGGGATTTCAGCTGTGTCGCTATGGATATGAGAATGACTCTGAGATCGCTGACTTGTATGACGCCATGGTGGCTGCCCGGATCCCCTATGTAAGTTCCAGTCTATGGTGTGCTGGCCCAGTGAACACATGGTGGATTGCTGTCATCTCCATGTTTGGGTTTGTTTGACACACGTGTGTGTGTGTGTGTGTGTGTGTGTGTGTGTGTGTGTGTGTGTGTGTTTATGTGTGTTTGGTGAGAGGTTCCTACAAAGTTACAGAGTGCTTCTGGTGGCACGGTGAGGACTTGAATGCTTACCCAAAGATCAGTAATTCTAACCCACTATCTGCTCTGTGGGAGAAAGACGTTACAATTACCTTCAACAAAGATATCTACTGCCATTAAGTCGACTCCAACTTACAGCCTCCCTCCTATGTCTTCTGAGGCTGTAAATCTTTATGTAAAGAAACTGCCCGTCTTTCTAATGTGAAGGGTGGATTTGAACCGTTGGAAGTTTGGTGAACAGCTCCATGCCCCACGGCTCCTTGCCAGGAGTCCTAGGAAGCCATGGCTGTCTTTTAGAACGTGGGGTATCTCGTGCAAATGTTAAGACGGGAGCCTTGGGAAAGCTGCACTCTGTCACATGGGGTTCACTATGGATTGTAATTAGCTCGATGGAATGGATTTGGGGATAAAGCACAAACTACTTCCTCATGAAAAATTGCATTGACACTCACCCCAACTCTGTGCTACATGTGGGATTGTTGTCCCTATTTTACAGGGTAGGAAGCTCAAATATTACTATATTTTACTGAATAAGTAGTCACAGACTCTATAGTGCTAGAACTCTTCATACTGTATCATGTTCCACTCTTTTTTATGGCTTAAAATACTTGTGATTGTCTAGGACTATATGACTCAATGATCCTCCAAAGAGAAGTTTTGCTTAGAAAAATCAAAAGAGACCAACCAAATTTAGTGAAACCAATTTTTGTCAATACAACCTTAGTGCCCTGTTTTTCGATTCACACAGCAGTCCTGGGACCGACTTCCAAATGAAACCCCATAAAATGCAACTGGCCATCAGGCTGCACCTGTATTTGACCTGGCCTCACTCATTTTTCTTCTGTGTATAAACGCTCATACTGGTGGAAGGCAGAGCGTGAGATACCTCACTCAAACAGAGGGATCTTGAGATAAAGGACTAGCGACCTGCTTCTGAAGGTCAAGGCCTTCCAAGCCCATGGGGCACAGCTCCACTCAGCACACATGGGGCTGTAGGAATCAGGACTGACAGGCTTAAACTGGCTGGTATGAGGAGCCTGTGGAGGGATTCCCATGAGAATGGCGGCTTGTGGTTTGGTCTGATTTTTAGAAGTTGGCCACCCGTGCTATGTTCATCCCAGACTATTTTGTTATTTCCATGGGCATGCCCTGGTGATA